TAGAAAAGCCCTGTTGTGAAACAGTCAAGGGTCTGTGTTGAAGTAGAACGGCCTAAAGCAGGGTGTCAAACTCACAGCCCACGGGCTGGATGCGTCATGTGCTGGCCCTAGTTTAGCGAAGGGGGAAAAAGTCCCAATACATCACATGACAACAATGTGACTGATATGAGTTTGACACCCCTTGGCTAAAGCATTCTGAAAGGAATGTTTTTTTCTCTATAAGTTCTCACAAGGAGTAGTGGTAGGAGTAGCAGTGGGGAAGAGTGGAAAAGAGTGAGTGCCGAGTATGCGTTTGTGTGTGTTGTCTAAGGACCTGCATTGTCATTGGCTTTTTTGTATCCTGGGTCCACCAAACTGGGTATAATTTAAAACAACCCCTGACGTCAACCCAACCACTATGTGAGAGATTTGTCTTGTATGGCCACAGGGAGAATCTGGAAATGGAAAATACTGTTTGGGGAAAACAAAACCAAGTAGCACAAATTAGATCAGGAAAGCTGTATCCTTCTCCTTCAGAATGAGACATTGAGTGCATTCACACCAGTAGTGGGATTCAAATTTTTTCACTACCGGTTCTGTGGGCATGGCAGGGGAAGGATACTGTAAAATGTCCAGTCAGAGGTGGTATTTGCCAGTTCTCCGAACTACTCAAAAGTTCTGCTATCGGTTCTCCAGAACTGGACAGAACCTACTGAATACCACCTCTGATTCACACTTACATTTACATTCATTAAAGTTTCAGGAGGATTTTCCCCCCTCCCCCAATTTTATATCATGTTCTAGAAGTAAGAGAAGAGGTATGTTATGGAAAACTGACTCATGATATGAGGAAAATATTGCTGAATAGCTTTCAGAGTTCAAAGTGTGAGTTAAAATTAACAATGCATTTCCTCTCTGATCATTTAAGTGAAAAGAAGAAATTGAACTTCTCTCTTGAAAGGTGCCTGGAGTGGAAAATTATTCCCAAAATAATAATAAAAACACATTGATGTGGATGCAAGATGCCATTAAAAAGACAAAATTCGTAATAATCAAAACCATACATTTTCACCATCTAAATGAGATTCAGAATCAACATCTGCACTGAATCATGCAAGAGAAGCGGTGTATTGTTTGCTTCACAGTGGAATATTTGCAACAAGTTACTCTTTTCACAAATATTGCTAAATCCACATGTATTGTTTACATTCTAAAATGTTGCTGCTCCAGTTCAACTTTCCTTTTACCATCTGATTATTTGTCTAAAATACTGTATATCCAGTGGTGGGATTCAGCCAGTTTGCAACACTTCGGGAGAACCGGTTGTTAAGTTTCTGAGCAGTTTGGTGAACTGGTTGTTGGAAGAAATTATTAGGTCAGAGAACCGGTTGTTAAATTATTTGAATCCCACCACTGTGTACATCTATTCCAGGGGTTCCCAACCTTTTCCATACCCCGCATCCCTAGAACACTTCTGATATATTCTCGCACCCCTTACAAAAGTAAATAATTATACGCATATAATTATGCATATACACTATAATTTTGAAACTTCTAAATCCAAGTTTTCGCACTCCTTGTCTTGCACCCCCAGAGGGTACTCGCACCCCCTGTTGGGAACCCCTGGTTTATTTTATAATGATGGCAACTGGAATGCCACTTATGAGGGGAAATAAAATATGTGTGATTTGGTCCGCAGTCATACTAGTTCATTTATTTTTTAAAAAAACTGATATTCCTCTTATGTCTTTTGGTTCTCTTCTCTTAGCATAGATAACTGCCTGTAGTAGATTACAAAAGGAAGATCTGCAGATGGGTAATACCTATGATCTGTTCAAAGAAGACACTGAATGCATTTGCACCTACATTTACATTCATTAATCTTCCAGAAATTTTTTTCTGCTTGATATTGTGTTCTAAAAGGAAGAGAAGTGATGCATTTCTTTCCTGAGATAACAGGAGAGAAAAAGAGATTGCATTAATTAGTTTGTTTTGAAAAGAAACTAAACAAATGTTGAATGAGTGGATCAGTCTATTTCTAAAGTTCTGTGTGTCTACTCTCAAAGATGGTCAGATGGGTCACTCTATAGCCCTAACAGAGACATTAAATGTTGAGAAGTTAACTCTGGCTATTATTTTCTTTGTTACAAGTTAAATAGATAATTTACTGTACAGAATAGAAAATAGATGGAACCTGTACTATAACAATAAAGTTGTGCTTGCTTGCTTTACATGATCATATATAGTGGGAATAGAGGAACATGGAATGTAATAGATCCCAAATGAGAGTCTTTCTTTTAGGAAATATTGTCTGAACTTGTCAAGGTTGGTTCACAAAATGCATCTCTTTCTGCTCACAGCCTGACAACAGAAGTAAGGGAGGGGAGAAGGTATAACTAGCAAGCAGGGGTAGGTAAAAGAATTCACGTGAGCTATTTGTAGCCTGAGAAAATCCTGAAGTGTCAAGGTTGCAAGGGGATTCAAGTGGTGCAGACTGGTTCCCAAAACAAAACGAGTAGCCTAGATTGGTGGACAATGGTCAATGGGCTGCCCGGGAAGGAAAAGGGGTTTTTACTATGCTGCATTTTGCACCAAAACTTTAGAACTGGCTTTGCTTCTTCTGTGCCTATATACCGTGTTTCTCATATAATAAGGCCGAGTCTTATTTTTTTTTGAGCCCCGAAAAAATGGCTAGGCCGTCTTTTCGGGGGTGACTTAATTCCCCCCCCTTGCAACTTTGGGCGGGCGGCAACAGCTTGGATGTTGACCTCGGCGTTGGTGGGGCACTTCGTATCGGGGTCAATGCAGGCAGCACCATATCCGGGTGTTCAACAAAAGTACTTCCTAATGGCACCATCCCCCCCATTTCGCATGTTTTAATATAGGCCTTAATTTGGGGGGAGGGGCTTAATTTCATTTCATGCCTATAAAACATGCTGGGACTTCCTATTGGGGGAGGCCGTATGTTGGAGAAACAGGGTAGGTCTATCAGTAAAGTTATACTCTTGGTAAAAAAAAAAATGTCCCAGGAGTTTATTTTGCTGTATATGCCAATAGGATGGTTGACAGAAATATCATCTGGACATTATTCTGATTGCAGAAAATGCAGAGAATTTACAAACTCTAATAATGAAGTTTAGATAAAAATGGACTAAGATTAAATATAAAGAAAAGATTAAACATAAAGTAAATCAAACAATGCCACCAGGTACAACAAGCAGGACAGACACAATTTCCCTACTAATGAAGATACAGGTAGGGCTTGTCTTACAACCAATTTACAACTTGGCTTAGCAAACATAAAAGGTACTCATAACAAATGCCTCTCCTCCACGGTCACATGACCCCATTTTGGGCACTTGGCAACTGGTCTACATTTATGGGTGTTTGCAATGTCACATGGTCATGTGACCTAGAGGTAGTATTCAACCGGTTCATACTGGTTCGGGAGGCTTCTTGCGCTGAAAAAGGGGCGGCTGGAGCGAACTCTTTTTCAGTCTCCAGCCGCCTCTTTCGCAGCGCAAGAAGCCTCCCCCAACCGGCTGGCTGCTCTCCCCCTTCTCTGCCTGTTTGTTCTGTATGACTGAGGAGGAGGAGGAGAGCAGCTGGCTGGTTGGGGGAGATTTCTTGTGCTGCAAAAGAGGCAGCTGGAGACTGAAAAAGAGTCAACTCCAGCCACTCCTTTTTCAGTGTGAGAACCCTGTAGCTGCCACTCTGCTTCTCCAATGGGCTGGTGCATGTTGTGCTTTTTTCGGTGGGGCTGGAGAACATCTGGCAGTCACAGGCTTCTTGCAGCGAAAATTACTGATCTCTGGTTTCGCTCCGCTTCTCCAGTGGTCCAGGGCCAACCTGTTCTATGCACCGACTGCTCAGACTTGCCAGGCCCAGCACATAGAACAAGGCGTGCTTTTCTCGGTGTAGCTGCTGGACTCCAGCTGCACCAAAAAAACCATGCAGCAGCTGCAGGCATCTTGTGACAAGGGAGGTGAAAAGACCCAGGACATGTAGCTAACTGTTGGCTGGCTGGGCCGGGCCGGGCTGGAAGAGGCACATCTACCAGGAGAAGGAAGAAAGCGTGCCCTCCCTTCACACTCCTTGTACACGCTGGGAGCATCTAACTGGAGCGAGAGAGTGAAATTGGCTGCTATGGGGCGAGCACCTTGGCTTCCCCTCTTGATCCTCACAGTCTGCCTGAGCCGGTGAGGTTCTTTACTTGGGCAGTTTGATGCCCGCAGCAGCACCCGCAGCAGCAACAGGCAGTGCCACAACAATGAGGTACAATAAGATTTGGCAGTGCAAATTTATCTCCAAGGGGCTTCTGGCAAAAAACAAAACAAAAACCATCCCAAAACAAAACCCATTCGGCAGGCAGACTCGGCAGGCAGTTGCGATCTTTAGTTGGGCTTTTTTTTTTTGTCAGCCCAAGGGTGGAGGGGGGGAGATGCGTAGGAAATAATCCTGTCTCTGCAGCATCGGTCATGTGGCTGAGTGGGCATGGCCAATTCGATGTAACTCGCAGCAAGGTGTCGCACCACTTTGCTGAGTTGGCCATGCCCACCCAGTCACATGACACCAAGCCACACCCACCAAACAAGCTACACCCACAGAACCAGTAGTAAAAAATTTTGAATCCCACCACTGATATGACCACAATGTACAACATTTTTACTAAAAGCGCTGTTGTGTGTTAACCTTGTTTGTTTATTTCTAATTTTGGCAAAAATGCCCCATTGGGAGGATTGAAGCATTTATTTATCGGTTGCTGCAAAAATGGTTGTGAAATCAGGTGTGATCACATGATGACTTGCTTTAGAACTATGACAACTTATGACGGTAATAGGCAGGCTCCATTCAGTTGTAAGTGGACTACTTGTACCAAAGTGATGAATATCTTCTGCCTTTTAGGATCAACCATCAACAATAAAAAAAACAAGGAGTCTGGAAATGCAAGCAGAAACTGGGTGGAAGTAATACTTATGCTTGAGAAAATGAAACTGCTCCTTACAGCAGGTATAAAAGTGAATGGACAAAGTCCATTCACCTGTTTTGCCATTCTGCATCGGATTCTGCCTGTACGTTTTCACCACAGAGTGGTAAGTCAATCAATCAATCTATCTATCTATCAGAATAGAACTGGAAGGGACCTTGGACACCCTATACCATTTCAGAAAACTGGCTGTCCAGTCTTTTCTTAAAAACCTCCAGTGATGAAGGACCTACAACTTCTGAAGGCAAGCTTTTCCACTGGTTAATTGTCTTTACTGTTAGAAAGTTCCTTCTTGATTTCAGGTTGATTAGCTTCCACCTGTTGTTTCTTGTCTTGCTTTCTGGTGCTTTGGAAAAAAGGTTGACCCCCTGTTCTTTGGGGCAGCCTCTCAAATACTGGAATACTGCTTTCATGTCAACCCTACTCCTTCTTTTCTTTAGACTGGCCATACCCAATTCCTGCAACTGTTTTTCATATGTTTTTGCCTCCAGGCCCTTGATCATCTTAGTTGCTCTTCTTTGCACTTTACCCCCAAAGTTTCAACATCTTTTTGGTAATGTGATGACCAAAGCTGGATGCAGTATTCCAGGTGTGCTCTTAGCTAAGGCTTTATAAAGCAATACTAATACTTCATGAGTTTTTAATTCTATGCCTCTATTTATACAAACAAGGATTGTATTAGATTGTATTTTGGCTCCTGCCACACACTGCTGGCTCATATTTAAGTGATCACTCACTAGGATGCCAAAGACCCTTTTACAGTTACTGTTTTTGAGCCAGGTTTCACCTAATCTGTACTTGTACTTTAGTTTTTCTTGCCTAAATGAAAAGCCTTGCTTTTTTCCACATTAAATTTCATATTGGATAAGGCCCATTGTTCAAGTCTGTCAAGATTTTTTTGGATCCTGAGCTTGTCTTCTGGGGTGTTGGCTATTCCTGCCAATTTAGTGTCATCTGCACATTTGATGAGTTAAGCAGCTCTGCTTTCTCTCTACTGCCTGTTACTTCCTTGCCATCTTCTCTCTTTAATTAACTGTTTCCTTGACTTTTTTCTTGTTATGTATATCTTGAAAGAAACTTTTTTTAACTATCTTTGACTTTTGTTGCAAGTCTTTGTTCATTTTGAGCCTTTGCTTTCCTGGCTTCATCTTTGTAGCTTCCAGCTATCTGCTGATATTTGCCTTAGTTATATGTCCCCCTCTTTCCATTTCTTGTACTTGTCCTTTTTGTCTTTCAATTTATCAGACAGATCTTTGTACAGCCATACTAGTTTCTTCTTGGATTTCTTGTTTCTCTTTTTCAGTGGTATTGTGTTGAATTGGGCTTTTTTATCATATTTTTTTCAGAGTTCTCCATGCTTCTTGAGTTGTCTTTCCATTTAGGATTTTTATCCCAGGAATTTTTCTTAGGCTGTCTCTGAGTTTGTTAAAACAGTTTTTTTAAAGACACTAGTTGGATTATGTTCGATTCCAAACAGTGTCTCAAACTTTAAAAGTTTAAACTTGAAAAATTTAAACTTGAAAAGATTAAGTCTAGCATACCATATTGTTTAACATGGACCACTTGTTTTTTCAGGGTAAATGCTTGTATGAAATGTTTGTAAATGGGCACATTCAGACACTTCCAGTGATCAGAGGCATCAAAATTGTTCATGTAGCAAAAGCCAGCTCTGTACTTTATTTAAGCAATAAAGGGTTAGCAAGCAGCAATTTCACACTACTTATCCTGGGGAGTAACTTGACTCTAGAAAAAATCTTACTTAGTAGAGCAAGCTTCAACCATAAGCTAAACCCCAATAGCTGGCTGAGAGTGTGGGCACCTGGAGTGTTTCAGATATTACTGTGTGCAGTTGTGTTTGGTTGCTATGCCTCGATAGCTGGAATAAAGTTTGATTAAAAGCCTTAACTCTGTCCTTGGGTTTAACTCAGGTGAAAGATACACCTTTCCCCACTCATCTAATATAAGAGGACCCCCCATCTCCCTCTGCTTCAGTTTCCAGAACCACCTGCTCCAACTTTGAGACTAATCTACTGCTCCATGGTAGTAGGCTTGTGACCAGTAGAGAAGACTTTGTGCATTTCACCTCAGCAGTGTTCTTTGTCCCTATCACTTCAGCTGAAGAGTGTTCCTCCATTCGAGTCCATTTGGGCTTTTCCATGAGCACAGTTTTCAAACTGGCCAATTTGTCTGTAGCCTGGCGGCAGTCTACAAAAAATGGGTACCTGGATGAGGCTAATCCTAAAGGATTTCACTCCAGGAGTTTAAAAAAGCATAACTTGATTGGCCGTGAGATTGAGCATCTAAAAAACAATTATTGCTTCCCTGGGATACTAGTATGCCTTCCAATCCTGAGGGCATACTAATATATATGGACTTGCACATGAGCATCCCCTCCACATGTACAGAGAAATAAAATTGGAGGCAACTTTGCATTCCAAAGTACTGCAAGCAATAGATTGGAGGTTTCTGTACCCTTTAATCTGGACACTATTACAAATTTTTTTCTCTTACACAATGCAAGATATTATCAAAAGTTGAATCTTGCAGAACTGGTTGCTCATGCAGATTGTGAGGTATTCATAGACTTTGGCCAAGTGCCTCGCCAAAGGTAAACAGAATGAGGCAAATAAGTCCTGAATCTTTTACAAAAGAAGATACTGTACATTAATCAGACTTCCTATAACAAAGCAATGTATTTATACATGCATTATTATATTCAACTCAATCATTAAAACAGTTAAATTGTTATTGAGATTAACAATGGAAGAATAGGGGAAAGAGAAGAAAATTTTCTTCATTTGCATTTCATAGTATGAGAGTCACATCAGAGAAAGCTACTTCCCTTCTTTCTGACAGTTACTTTCTGTAAGGAAAGTAAGTGTAAGGACTGTATTCAGAAATCTTACTTTTCCCCATGTGCTTATTGTTTATTGTTGTTTGGATGAAGGCCAAATATTAGCAGTGAGCTGATGTTCTGTCAATTCGTGTTTGTTTCATTTCACAAAAAGTGCTGTGTTTATGCTTTTTATGTTCTATGTTGCTACTGTAATTCTATCTTTTCCAGCTTTGGATTTTCTTTTCCTGCATGGCAACATAAACGGCTACATGTCCCAAACACTTCAATGTAAGTACATCATAAACACTATTAGTACCTGAAAATATCTTCAACAGTAGCATGTTGAGTGCCATCTGACCCGAGGAACCCATTATCCAGTACTGTATCATCAGTTATTTTATATTTTTTATTCACCTCATTTTCTTGGTGAAAAATGCAAGAGTGGTTTACCATTGTCTTGTCCTACACAGTACGAAAGGACACTTCCCAGGAACTTGTAAGTTTGTAGCTTTGAATTTAATACAATAATATAAACTTCAAAAGGATTTAAAAGGTGAAGTTCAGTCAAAATGTGAGTTGCTAAAGGCTGCATTTATGACTCACAGCTTGCTAGGACCCACAACTTGCAGTGGCTACAAAAACAACAGTCTCTAGTTCCTGCTCACAGGATTCAGCTGTACATATGAGCAATCCCCATACGTCTCTTTTTTCCAGAGAAAGTTTTCATAGTCTGAACTTTACATCCATCTGCCTTCTTGGCTAAAATGCCCCCCTCAATCTGCATGAATCATAAAAGATGTGGGTGCTGGCTTGCCTTGCTCTATTGGAAGCCACCTGCACAATATGAATGGATACCTACACCCTTGTCACTAAAGTGAACTTCTGCTTCTAGCATCTTCCTATATTATTGGTGCCCAGTATAGATACCTGCTTCCTTTAGCTGGGAAGTTGGCACAACCTTCAATCCTTGGGAGGCTAGGGATATATACTTTTAGCTTATATTTTCAACATTTGCACCAATCCCTCCTAGGAGTATCTCCTATCGTGGTAGAACAATAGGAATAGCGATGACAGTGTTGAAATAGTGAAATCAAGTGAAAGAAGCTTAGATGAATTATGATGGTACAGTGAAGCAACATATATAAATATATGATAATTAAATCAACTAAAATAATTTTTAAAATTAACAATATATCCTTATATAAATAAAACTGTATAAAATTAATTCAGTTATTAAATCTATCATAAAACTTAGATTGTATGCTAATGTATTGTATAGAGTTAGACTTGAACACACAGACTTCAAAATTGATAACAAATTCTTGCCTTGGAACTATTCTTTACAGTTAGGAGACTACATTTCTTTCTATTTATATAAAATTATCCAGCTGGCCATACCTTCAAGCTTGGTATAGTTTACCCAGTGTCACCTTGTAGGGAAGATGGGCAGCATAAACATTTAATAAATAAATAATAAAATAAATCAATAGTCCATATTTAAGAAATATAATTCAATGTTATACTTAAATAATATGGGAAATAAATATAGGTAAGATACATATGAATTTGAAACCAGAACAAAGCTACAAACAGACCAAGACCATAGTATATGAATGAAAGAACCTTCCAACTTTTTTTAAAAAATTGAACTTTTGAGAAACATTGTAAAAGGTAATAAAAAGTAGAAGAAAAAAGAAAAATAAAACTTCAGAAAGTCCAAAAACAAAATTGGCAAAAAAGCAAAAAACAAAACAAAATGATTTTTATGACACTAAATGATATTTATTTAAGAAAGTTTTAAATTGATTGGGAGATCAGAGAAATTCTGAATACTGGTTATTTTTGCTGTAAGATTTGAAAAACATATACTGTACATAATTAAATAATATACTTATGGGAAATGATGGGTGTGAAACTAAACCATTTTAGGAACTGAAGTGATCACTTAAATATGAGCCAGCGGTGTGTGGCAGGAGCCAAAATACAATCCAATAGAATCCTTGCTTGTATAAACCGAGGCATAGAATTAAAAACTCATGACTAGGTAGAAAGTCTAGTTGACTGTAACTCTTTCTTATTTTAAAGAGTTTTTTAAAAAAATAACTGGTCTGAGTTAGAATAGAATAGAATAGAATAGAATAGAATAGAATAGAATAGAATAGAATAGAATAGAATAGAATAGAAATCTTTACAGGCCAAGTATGATTGGACACACAAGGAATTTGTCTTGGTGCAAATGCTCTCAGTATACATAAAAGAAAAGATACATT